AAACATCAACAAGCAGGAGTAGATGCTGTGACAGGCCATCGGTCATTTACCTCTTGTCACAGAAAGCACGAGACCTGGTCTCAACTGTTTGATTAGGTTTGCCCTTTAAAAGGTGAACTCACAACAAACACATCACAACACGAAAAAGCATGGGGTTACGAGAACATGTGCATATCAATTATTAAAAAAGTACAAAAATCAATGAAACAAACTGTAGGTGTTACAAGTGGTATCTGTTTCAGTCAAAGACAAAGCAGGTGTCCGTGTGTGGATACACGTAGGTCCGCAGATTTAATTTGAAAAAAAAAATTAAAACATGTCTCTGTTACATGCATCTGCATGGTTAGCCAGTGAGTGCTTCATGTAGCTTAAGATGTTAAGTCAACTAAAGCTACCTGAAACCTTCCAATAGTGGTAGCCTGCAAGCATCTTACCAAACCGACGTATAACCACAAATATTCTTGATAGACTGATCTGGGTAGATTCCACTTCTGCAGTGGTGCCACGCACATGCTGCTGGCTTACTTAAAGTCAGCTGCATATTTTCAAGTGACTCCATTGCAGAGGAGGCATAAATTCCACACACATGCGTACATCCTGTGCACAAGTATATGGCACAACAGTGGCGCAACAATTTCCAAAGTGTGGGGGGGGGACATTTGTTAGATCCACAGGCACCAGTCATTAAAGGACCTCCTGGTACCATACGTGGGAGGGGAACATTATCCCAAAGTCAAAAAAGGAGGAAGGGGAGTGGCTCCCCTTGCTCTCCCACTTCTGCCACCAGAGATATGGCACTGTCATAGTGATGACTCCAAATTAGGGTTGCCCAGACAAGCCTACTGTACATGTATCGTCCAATTGATTGCTTACGTCGAGGTTCATGTGCCAAATTAATTTATATTTAATTTGAAACTGTCTCTTCCTACCAATTCATAATTTTGAAACATGTATTTATCTGAATGTAAGAAAATGCATACTCATTGTCAATAAATGCAAGTTCATTAATTAACGAGCAAGTTTGCTTATCAACAGCAGGTACATGCAACTACATGTATTCTTTACTCAACATTCAACTAAGGCATAATAGTGGTCAGACTAAGTCAAGTTGATAAGTCAGGACCAGCTCAACAAGGCTGGTTGTATCACTGGTCAGCAACGTGTATCAGTATATAGAAGTTTACAGGTACGGTCCAGCAGATAGCCTGAGTTTTTGACAATGTTTTACTATAGTGGGAATCCTTAGCACTCTTGTGTACACGAGAGCACAGTGCCTGTACAATACATGTACATATGAACACCACCCTGTGGCCAAGTTCAATCACAGACACTTAGTTGACAAGCTGTTGACTGGATCTAATATACTCTGAGAGGGAATAAGAGATGGTCTGCTTTTACAATAATCAAACGATGTCATTCATTTGGTGCGAAATCACTATGGGCATGCACTAGTTCATGTACATGTACATACATTTGACGTGAGAAGCACCTAGTACATGTGAATGACTAATTTCCATTTGAATGTACAGTTGTTGCAAGTTTATGGAAGCCACTAGCTAGCGGCTAATCTATTTCCCACAGATACATGTACAAATGTTTTTTGGCAGTGACATGAAACTACCGGTACTAGAGTTTATGGTCATGCCTGCAGCCAGTTCCCATACAGTCGAGTGTAGTTTCAAGTCACAGCCAAGATACTTGAGCTCAGCCAAACAAGTCTAACCATTGGCTCCAAGAGACCATTCAACTGAAGTTATGGTGTACTTGGAATGTGGTGTTAACCACTGCTCTTGATCAAACTGACTGCACGCTTGAATAGCAAAATGGCATCATTACAATGGCCTCGTTTGGCCAAATTGTAGCCTACTGTGCAATTTTGAAACTCTATGACTGTTTGACTTCGAACGGATAAAGAAAGCAGCCAGCCAGCTTTTAATTGGAAATGAGGAATATGAAACAGAATACCTATTAATTTGGATGAAAATTTGAAAGATGAGACATACCGGTACAAGAGATTTCCTTTCAAGAAAACAGGTCAAAATGCCATTAAGGATGACGGGTGATTAATTTTATCTGGATTTGTTAAATATTATTTTTCCCTGAGAAAAATTGACAAAAATTAATTCATACAGGCACTGGAGAAAATATACATGACAAATGTCAGACAAAACAAACCCTTTGGAAATCCAAACATACACATACATGGTTGACTAAAATCACGCACCTGTAAGTTGTGTGAGAAATTTAAATTGATGTGGCTAAAATCAACGACAGAAAAGTGCAAAAGGCAAAACATGGGGGGGGACTATAAAAACCTTAAGAATCAGTCCACAATATTTACTGCACAGTATTAACCTCCACTACAAACAGCCACTTGTTATAAAATACCAATGACCATGGTTTGACTTGATACAAGAACTCATTCAGCAGCCGAAATGCAGTCACACAGATCTCATCTTTACGCAAACGGAATGTCTCATGAGATGAACTGCTCATCAACAACAGAACCACCGAATGCTTCCCTAGAGACAAGATAAGATAAATGCCTCCACAGCTGAAGAAGGATGTCAGCCATGTGCCCCCCCCCCACTCATCAAGCAATCAATCATTTATGTAGGTGGTATCTTCAGGAAATGGACAAGCAAGCCCTTTTTTTCTCTTCAGCACGCTGCACTGTTGGAAGTACGTGCATCTAGGGGTACATGTACATTACAGTAATCAACTCGTGATTTAGTGTAGAGGTCAGAATTATAAATTGAAGCTATCACTGCAGCCGTACTACTGGTTCGATTGTGCATAGTTTGAACACACCCATTACTTATCTCTCCAACTAATTGGGTGTTAAGACGTACGTAGCATCATGGAAAGTGCACCTCACGTTAATGAATTAGTGCAACGTGTGTATGCATGCCAGAGTAGAGCCACCACAGTAGCGGTGCCTTTTTGTGCTAGTCAATAGGGTTGCATGAACTTTTACATACAATAACCTACGATCCAAAGAGATGAGCCTCTTGCAATTTATGGATAAATTACAAAATCCTACCTCTTCAAAGATGATTAAAAACCCTCAAAACTAAAAAACATTAACATTAAAACGCACCCTGCACAAATGTGAACAGAAATTGAACTGAACAAACAGCCACATTAACCACAAATGCCACACTGACTTAGTGTTACTGATGTTGCCAGCTTTGCTTGAACTGACTGATCAGTCCTTTAAGCTGTTTCACCTGACCCTCCCAATGTACTTCTGAGATCCCTTAGCCTTCTCAGAAAAGTGATACATGTACGTGTATATCAACCCTATGTACACAGTGGGTAATGGCAAAATCTGCTGTCTTCTCCATTCGACATGTGCACCTAACCTACATGTAAGTAACCCTGCATGCTTTTGTCATTCTCACATCTCTTTCCCTTCATGCCTGAGTTACAAGGCCATCTGGTAGCAAGTAAAAACACAACAGTGAAGAGTTTAAATGCTTTCCAAAATTCATCGCCTATCTAAATCTATGGTCTGTGACAACAGCAATGAAAAAGAAAATCCACACTGCACCGCCCTACATTTGAAACACTGTACATTTTTTCAAAAAGAATGGATAAAAATTGCTGGAAAAATGTGCACAAGGTACCACCCCCCCTCAAAAAAAGGAGAGGGATGTATACATGTGTGCCACACATGTATGCCTGGAGATGGCAAGTTTATAGATTAACCCTCATTCCGGCTTTAAGCATTTTACCTGTTTAAAATATTAAGCCTTTGAAACCATTAAACAGGTGCAGCACTATAGAAACCGCTCCCACACATCCATGCTTGTTTGACCTTCATAATGTAAAATGTTGATGCTTTCGGATGCAAGCAGGGAAAATGCTAGTAAGGGATACATAACCTGTCTCCACATCATAAACGTGTATGCCATTAGCACTGTCCATTTATCAAAGGCCACATCTTCAGCCTACATGTACTTCAAACTTGTATTAATTCACACACAATATATTCCGGTGATGGGTTTCTCGGGTTCTTTTTCTGCTGCCTGTGATACTGTATATTGGGACAAACAGAGAGCATTTGGTAAAGTAAAAGCTGGTTTGTACCGGTTGATGTACTCAAGTCATTTAGTAAAATCAGGACACATTTGGAGGAATATTAATGGACCAATTCAACTTGCACATTTTAAAGGTTAAAATAATGAAGCACCATGACAAGAACAGCGACAGCAGTCAATTTTGTGAAATATATTGTTTGCTTCATCAAGTGCACTTCTGGTTTTACCGTTCTCGACACATCAGCGTGTTGATTAATACCCTGCTATTCCAAAGCAAAGTATCACTGACCAGATAAGGATCACTGCATGACTAAAGACGCCTGTCTAACCACAAATTAAAATACGCTGGTACCACTTTTTCTGAGTTACTTGGACATGCCACAAACTGCAGCACTTTACTGCCACTTCAGGCAACTGCCACGATGCTAGAAGAAAATACGGTTTAATGTTCACAGTTCAAATGATCACAAATAGGCTCAATGG